GAATCTGCTCTATTGTTGATCAAGAAAGTTTTAAGGAAACAAGGATGGTTGAAGTAAATGGGGGTGGGGTGGAGTGGGAGAGTGGGGGAGTGGGGTGGGGTAGGGTGGGGTTTGTATTTGTACTGAGGATAAATTGTGCTTTTAGCCAGCTCCTCTGTTTGAGTCCTCTATTCTGGCAGGGATGGGCCCAAGATCTAATAATAGTTCCTTAGTTTCTGCATCTCTACATACGTGTTCCTGCGTTTGAGCAGCAGGAAGAATTTAGTGACAGAGCAGGTGCTGAGGCTTATTCCCTGGCAGAATAAATGGTGAAGGGTAGTGGCAAGACAATTCTTTTACTTCTTTCTTTATGCAAAAAAAAAAAAAAGTCTCCAATAGCTTTCTTTCTTTCTTTCTTTCTTTTTTTCCTGCTACAAGTGAAAAAAGAACTAGAATTGCTGTATTAATATGTATGCAAACATTATTTCACTTGAGCTTCTGGGGAAAAAAGAAAGAAAGAAAGAAGAAGAAAATGGAAAAGAAAAACTTACTGTGAAAATGCTTAGCCAGGAAGATTTATTGCTGATTGCAGCTTTAGTATTGACATATCTTAGCTGAAGAAAACTTAGGTTTTAACTATTAAGGTGGAAATCTGGATTGGTCTTTTAAGATGGAGTGAAAGTTTTGGATGATACAGTGTATTTTCAGAGAAATTATTCTGTACATAATTTTTAATAAGAAAGTATCAATTAGAGAGGTTTAAAAAGTCCAGTGGAATTTGTATCTTTGTTTTACATGTCCTGCCTTGAAAATGGTAGTATGTAGAATGTAGGTGAAGTGAATTACACTGATCTTTATGCCAGATATTAATGTCACATCTCTATATGTCCACTTTTCCTGATTTATTATGTGGGATTTAAGATGAGAATCCAAAAGTCTAAATGAAATGCCCGTTGAAAGCATTATTTGTAAGATTTTTTTTCAACCTACATTTCTACTCCCCCAGTAGGATAAGTACAAAAGTCTATTTTTTTCTAGAATGTAGGTGTGTTGCTCTTATAAACATAGGATAAACCATGGTAACATGAAAGGGAAAACAAAATTCCTTCTCATTCTACTTGGGATAATCTAAGATCTTAACAATACTTTTCCTTTTGCTTGATTTTATGAGGCTAAAACTTGACACCCATTTAATTGTAGTTATAATCTCCTTGGTACTCATCTAGTCAAAGTTAAAATGATCTTATCCTATGTATGTTGTTCTCAATGCATGCAAAAGCAAAGCTCAGAATTCTGGAAAACAGGGCATGCTTGAGAGGGAACATCTTGTGAAGATTGTAATTTGACCTTTGAATCAACCTAGCTGAGTAAATTTTAAATATTATAGAACAAAATAGCAAGCCTCAAGGTGGAATTCCGCCCCCTCTTCTTCCCAGAACTATAAACCAGTCAGAAGCTATTTCAGAGATTAAGCTAGAAATGTGTGCCTATCCTTAGTACTTTTTGCTGAGAAATAAAATTCAACACTAGAGATAAAGGTAGATTTATATTTAATGCCAACCCCATCAATCACTCAGTGTATTATTCCAGTCTATCTCCATTTAAGTAGTTGAATCAGGTATAACCAGAAACACTTGATCCCCCCACCCCATGAGATATTTATGTTTAGCATTGCAAATCTTTCTAACTCTACACTCAAATATGATGGCAATTAAGGGGGAAAAAAGCACTTTGACAAGTTTGCAGCTTTTGATTAAACCACACCAAGAGGCATGTTACAATAACAATGAAGCATTATGCCAATTATGTTAAATCCTGCTCTCCGCTTAAGCTCATCATGACCTGTTTTAGTGTCCTGTAATTTATCCTTTGGAATGCTTACTCTCATCAATAGTGTTCACCTTACAGACAAGGGGTGGGGGTACCAAAGGGAACAAACCACCCCAAATGACTTCTAGAAAACAAGTATTTCTTAACTTTTTATTGACATTGGCAAATTAAAATAGAATAAATTAACAAGTATTTTTTCAAAAAAATGTTTTGTACAAAAATACTGTCAAAATTTCCTAAAAAGCTTTCAACACAGTAGTATCTTTTCATGTACTGAATATAACTATTAGCACAGTGTCAAAAATGTTGAAGACAGAAACAAAATAAAAATCTGTGAAATGTTTGCCACTGACGACATTCCACACCCTATTATTGTCTGTACATATGGGGGAGGGGGGACAGCCAACTTGAAAGTGAACAGTATGACTTTTCCTGATCCAGAACGGTTTGGCCCACATCTGTTTTAATCTTCCAGTTTAGCATATTTTAAAAATTAGTCTGTACTCATATGCATAGTTTAAAAAATGAAGCGAGATGGCAGAGTTTGTGCAGTAATATCTGCCCTTCAAAGTTCATGCAACCAACTAATGCAATTTTTTTCCTTTCACTCCTAAATCTGAATGCAGTTCAGTCATTTGAAACCATCTACAAAATCCACAAGATTAAGCAGTTTGCCAAGATTAATATCTAACAGTTGAGCACTGGAGAAAGTGAGGAAATAAGGAGTAAAAAACAAACAACGAAAAGGACCAAGTTAGCTAGATATTTCAACTACATAAGGGAGGTGAATGTCAAGGCTACAAAAACGAAACAAAAACAGGAAAAAAAAAGTGGCAGCATTTTTTTTTAAACCAATTTGTACAAGTTTATAGTTTACTTTGTTTCCAAGTTCTCAAACCTTTCAGGATTTGAAAAGTGAGATACTGTGTCTAAGGGAATGTTTTTAATTCACACCGAAGTTGGGGGTTTGATTTCTTTCGCCCGGGTTTCTATCAACAGCTTACTCTGCTGGGCTGCTGTTTACACACGAAGTCCGTCATAAAATCAAACTCGTTTTGCCCCAGCCAGAGTTCAGGCAGCTCCTTGATGCGGTCCAAGCCCATTTCTATCACTAAGGACATAAGCACTTCCTCGTCGATGAAATCAGTGTCTATGACATTGGGCGGCAGCATTGCAGCAGGGACGTGGGCCACGGAGGCGGGCATGTTGCTGCCACTGCCTCCGCTGCCGCCGCTGCTGCTGCTGCTGCTGCCCGCGCCGCCGCCCGAGGTGCCTCCGGAGCCGCCAGGGGTGCTGCTGCCGCCCGAGCCGCCTGGGGTGCTGCTGCCGCCGCTGTGCTTGGGGTTGCAATCTCGGAAGTGCTGGTTTGTCCCGTTCATCTGGTGGCCTGCAGCAGGGTGCAAATCCGGCATGTAGTGGTTGTGGGGATAGGGGTGATGGTTGAAATACTGGTTGTTGAGCTTCTGCAGCTGCATGCTGGCAGGCAGGGAGCCTCCCTGGCTGGCCACCGGGGGGCCCATGAACTGGGAGTTGTTAAACCTGGCCGCGGGGGCCAGTGCACTCGGAGGGTGCCCTCCATTCACAGTCCCGGGCCCCATCGCGTGCCTGATGCCGCTCGTGGCATTCATGTTGCCCGCGCCGTAGTGTATGTGGTCGCCCATCAGGGCGTTGAAGGCGTGTTGGGGCTGCTGCTGCTGATGGTGATGGGGACTCGGGAACTGCCCCATGCCCATGCGGTGGGCAGGGTGGTGGTGCAGCCCGTTGGTGCCGTCGGGGAAGCGCCCGTGGTTCATGGCCATCATATGGTCTGCCATCTCTAGTCCTGAAAGTGAAAAAGGCAGACGGTAAGACCAGCGCCACACGTGTTGCCCACCAAAGAGCACCCCTTATCTTGCCTCTGCTTCCCAGGCTCCCCCAGCGCACGTCAGCTGCGAACCACCCCCCAGGATCCCACTAGTACCCTGTGCACCCGAGCTCGCCACCTCGGCGGACCTGCCACCCACCACACACCTAGGTGCTGCACAAACAGCCCCTTCCCCTGCAATCGGAGTGGTGGGGGGGTGCCCGAGCCCACACCCCCCCTGTGTTCCATGAAGTGGCCTAATAAAGGAAGTGCCCCGTAGCCCTGCCGCGAACTTCAGGCATTAAATCAGCCCTCCTCATCCTGTTGTTGCACATCCTGTTGTTATTCCCCAGCTCCGCCTCACGCTCTTCCTCCGGGCAAACGCTGCCCTCGGAGGACTGGGCTGGTAGGAGCCCCAGCCAGCTTCGCCAGCCGCGCTTACCTTCCGTCTTTGCGATTTCAGCTCCGAAGACCGAGGGCGGGATCGTCGGGTCCAGGACCAGCTCAGCAGCACATAGAGGGGGATTTCCTGGAGTGCCGGGTGCTCGCTGTCGCGATGTCGGCGCCGAGGTCTCACAGCGGTGGCTGGGGCAGATTCGGAGCCGTTCCCTTTTATTTCCCCTCCGCTGCCCTCACAGCTCGGCAGGACCGCCCGGCAGCTGCCAACAATGAGCTGTGTTTCTTAGGGCTTTGGTCACAGTTAATATAAGGGATTTCAGAAGGGCGGAGCGAAAGCCTCCCCGGCGGGCGGCGCAAACACATGGATTCCGGAATTTAGGGCACACTGGATCCGGTCGGGGAGCCGCGTCCCCGGCGCCAGCGGCACGTGCGCAGAGGCTGCGCGCTCAGGCGCCGCCCCGTTGTTCCCCGATTCTGGTTTCCTTCTTGCCCCCAAAGCGCTAGGGCTAGGTCTGTCACCTCTGGGGCAGCGGGATACTTTTTCCCGGCCTCCCAGCCCGATGGTAGCGCCTACCCGGAGAAGAGTGAGGAAAACTCACCGTCTACCTTTGACGGGATCTTCCCAACCCCGGGTCCCGACTCACCTAGTGATATGGCCTGCCCTCTACAGGAAAGGGGTTTTTTCCTCAGCGTCCCCGCCCTCCAGAGTGCCTTTTTGCCTCTTCGTTGCTGCAAAAACCTCTCCAAGCTGCCAAGAGTGGTTGTGCTTCCCCGAGTTGTGTTTTTAAATCTCCGGACAAATAATGCCCTCCCCCTGAGAGCGCTTTCCTGAGCCGTGCTTTTGTGTTTTTATACGGGGCAGCAGATAAACCTAATCTAGATATATTCTGCAAGTAGATGCATGCCCCCCCACTTTCAAGGACAGGAACTGGGGGCGGGGGCGGGGGGGCGGGGAGATGCAGCTGCTGCAGGTGAACCCAGCGCGCTCGCAGGCCCTGCTGCCTCCACTCCCGCGCTCAGGGATCCTGTCCGCACTTTTGGATTCGCTCGGCGCTCCCGGGGTACGTGTGCTTCTGCTAAGTTTGCGTTTGCAGCTCTTGGTAGCTTTGGCATCCGAGCTGAGGCGTCTCAGCTCTGTAAACAAACTCAGCGATCCTCGTCCCCAGATCCACCTTTTTGCACATACACAGTTACTTGCTTCTGCTGTTGCCCTTGATCCGGGAGGTGGGGGTGTGTGCAAACTTGCACAGCCTCCCTCCAGGCTCTGCCTGACGGTTTGGGGTTGATTTAGAGGCAAATGGGTTTGTAATTAAGAAATTCGAGGGCTGAGTAAGGCTGCTGTTGCTGGAAAAGGAAAACAAATAGATAACATGGTAATCGCTTTGTAAATAAAGTCGTTCTGGAGGTGGGCACGTAGCGGCACGTCCCGTATGGCACGGTGTGTGCACACACACTGCTGGGACTCTTCCTTTCAGTGAAATTGTTCAGTGGAGCAATAGGCGATAATAATAACCTTGCTTGCAGAACGCGGCACAACGAGCCTGGTAGCGCATTTGGCTCATTGACTTGCAAATAAAACCCCTAACACAGGTCTGAGACACTACCCAGTCGGAGATCTTTTGCTTTCTCACAAGGAGAAGTCAAGTTAAGTCCGCAATACCAGGATGAGGCTACTTCAAGCTTTATATTGCTCTTTATGTGATAAAATCGAGTTTAGCGTTCTGAATAAGGACTTCTGTGTAGAGTTGTTTCTTATGACTCAATAACCATTGAAGACTTCCTGCCGCGAAGAGCCAGCCCCCACTTTTCTCCTTTTTCACTCACAAGACTTTTTTAGGTCCTGTTTTTTTTTTGTTGTTGTTGTTTTTTTTTGGGGGGGTGGGGGTGGGGGTTGTACATTCGTACACACACACACACACACACACACACACACACACAAATGCTGTTTCTCCCTGCTTTCCTCTCTTTCCTTTTTCAGGCTCTCCAGCATTTGTAACCAGGTATGCAAATACTTTTGAAATCACAAAAAATATTATTTTTTTGTTCACAGAAACACAGAATACACTGCATTGTTAGTTGCAACAATTCCCTATTCTGTTCACCCACAACCTTTACCTGTAGGTCATGGACATACAATTACAGAATCAGAGGCTTGGAAGAGACCTGAAGGGGCCACTTCCTATCAAAAATAGAATGTAAAATATCGGGCAGCTCCAGATAATGGACTGACACCTATTTGTCAGTCCGGATGGGTGTATTAGTTTCCTAATAGACTGACATAATAGAATGCCATGCTTAAACAGCAAAAGTTCTGGGGGCCAGATTCAAAAATTGCTGGACAGATTGTTTACTTCCTTTCTTTATTCTGCAGTGTCTTGCAACACAAGAACAGCTTTTGAGTGTCTAATCTAAATTCCTCTTGTAACCATTAAGGAAAGGCACAGCACTGTCCAGCTCCAGTAGTTCTACAAACTATTGGGAAATCCTTGAAAAGGTTATCTGCCCATCCCCCTCCCCTTAAAAGGGGAAAAACACTTTTGGGACCAGCTGGTTGGAATATGGCATGCTTTCTTCATTTACTTTCCTTTCTCTAATGCATGTTCCCCAAGTTCTGACACTTTCTTAGTACCTGGGTGTACAAACAAGATAGGAGGTCATGATCACAAGGAAGAGTCGGACTAAGACCCTTGTGATAAATGTCACAACAGCATGAATGCATGGGCTTCCTAGTACATACAGGAGGGACATCAAACCCTATCTTGAGGGCCCTGGGAGGCTTCCAGAGGAAATGGTGACAAAGTTGAAACCCAAGGATGAACAGAAGTTTGTCCCCACCAGAACAGGAATTAGAAAGTCTTAGCCAAGAAATTAAGGCAAGGATGACACAGCAGAGTGGAGACATACACCGAGGCTGGTTCCTAAAGGCTTTGCGTCCCTACCTTGAGAAATTTGGATTGTGTCTGTGAGACTTGGAGGCATTTGAAAGTATGTGAAGCTGTGGGATAGTATTGTTGAAGAATGGTGTTAAGACTGGAAACAGGGAGTCCAATTAGGGGGTATTTGTAGTAATTAGGGGTATAGGAAGCCCATGTAACCAGGGGTTTAGTCTGTGAATCTGAATAAAGCAGTGGACTTTCTCTGATCCTTCCAATGCTCAATGGGTATATTAGTTTCCTAAGACTGGCATAACAGAATGCCATGCTTAAACAGAAATGGCAGATCAAGGTATTAGCAGGGTTGGTTCTGAGGGCCAAAGTGGTAAATCTATCCTATGACTCTCTCTTCTAACTTTAGTTTCCTGGGAGTCTTTGATGTTTTATTTTGTAAATGTGTCATTCCGATCTCTGCCTTCATCTTCACATGGCATTTTCCTCGTATGCATGTTGGTTGTATTGGCTTAGGGCCTATCCTAATGATTTCATTTCAACTTGATCACTTCTGTAAAGATCCTATCAAATCAGATAACAATTCCAAGATACTAGGGATTAGGAATACAATATGTCTTTTTAGGGGGCAGAGTTCAATCCATAACAGTAGTGAAGAAATGAGGTAAAGCAATGTCCTTGAAGCTAAAGGAGAAAACAACCTAGAATTCCCCTCTCAGATGCCTGCTGGCCCATGTTCTCATTTTTTCAAGTCTCTGCTCAAATTCTACCTCAGTTGGGTCTCCCTCACTGACTTACCCAAATAGCAATATCCCTCTTTGTTTCCTGACTCTGCTTTATTTTTCTTCTTATGACTTGATTCCACCTGCCATGCTGCACAGTAAATTGATCATTTACTCCCTTCCCCACTGGATTGGCAGCTGCAGGAGAGCAGACACCCAGCTTATTTGTTCTGTGTCTGAAACAACTCTTGGCATGAATTAGGCTTTCCCTGGTAATGGGTGAGTGAATGAATGAATGAAATATCATAGAGATACCAAGGGAACACAAATGAAAGGTTGGGGAAGAATTTCTGAATGTTATTCTCAACGTTGGAAGTGGAAAAATCCAGTAGAAAAGGAGGATAGCTATTAGTCACTGTGTGTATTGTGTCCTGTCATTCACTTGGACAAAATTGTTATGGGTTTGGGAAGACGATGTACTCAGGGATCATTGACTGCTCAGTAATGGAGGAAGGTCCCCACTGGTATGAACTTTTGACTGAAATGGAGCTTTTAGAGGTGAGCTTTAGCTAAAACCCGTGCTGAGAAAAGGCTGACTGAAGGCCCTAGCTTCAAAAAATGTATAACTAGAGCTCTTACTTGTGTGGTGGAGGTGGGGGGGGGGGGGTAGGGTGGAATCTAAGGCTGTGCTTTGTACTTTACCTAAATCATCTGGTTTAATCCTTAACAAGTAAGGGTTATTCCATCACATTAGTAAAGAGGACTCTTGAGTTTCAGAGAGTTCTGAAAAATGAGGAAAACAAAACAAAACACCTCAAACTAATAACAATGAAAAAAGTGTCTGCCTTCTTAGAGGGAGAGGCATAGGGAAAACGGAAGAGAAAGAGAAAGAGAGCTTGTGAACATGTGATTAATACAGGCAGAATTCCTGAAAGCAACCTGGCACTATCTGCAAGTTGGATAAATACTATTTGTGTGTGTGTGTATGTGTGTGTGTGTATTGTGTGTGTACATACTCACAATACACATATATGTGTATGCATATCACTTTTCTTTGTATGTAGTACTGGGGATTGAACCCAGAGGCACTCTACTACTGAGCTACATTTTCTGATCCCCTTTTTAAATTTTTTATTTTTGAGATAGGTTCTCATTCAGTTGCTCAGACTGTCTTTGAACTTGTCATCCTCCTGCTTCAGCTTCCTGAGTCACTGAAATTACAGGTGTGACCCAGCATGCCAGGACCATGTCTCACTTTTAAACTTGTAGATTTGGTTCTAATTAATACAGATTTGCTTGAAATAATTACTAAACTCATGATAGATTTTCTGTTTTTATTCATTTTCTCATTCAATAGATATTGAACTGTCATCATGTGGGAACCAACAAAATGTTTATACTAAAAAGTGATCTTTAAGCTGATGAAGTTGATACTATCTCACCCAACAAATTGCTTGAATTAAACATTCTGGGACATTAACCCTGGTGATCCTGATTCAGCAGGTTGGGAGTGGGGCCTGAGGATCTGTGTTATTTCTTTAAAGCTTAGTTTGTCCTAATGTTAAGTTAGCTTTGCAAACCACCAATCTTGTCTATAGATGGATGACAACAGAGGTTCTTGTCACAGAGTTATGAGTGTAGTAGGTTCATGTTCATAGTGTCTCTTCCCCTGGATTGCCACCTGTTCCACCTCTCCTGCCCATAACTGTAATTTTGCTCATCCTTTAGGTCCAACTTAGATGCCTTCTCCTCTTTCCAGCCTTCTCCAATTTCCCAGATGGAAAGAATTATAACATCCTTGCTGCTTCCAGGGCAATCTGCTCAGATTTTCCTTTTCGACCAATTCTGGCTTCAGTTATGGGTATTTGTGTCTTCTGGTGCCCTTTCTGTGATGGTGAAGGTTCCTTGGTGAGCCCCAAGGGGCTGCATGGTGTCATGCGTAGAATAGGGTTGACCTTGTGTTAGTTTGCTAGAGCTGCCATAAGATAATCAGACTGCGTGGTTTAAACAACAGAAATTTATTTTCTCACAGTTTTGGAGGCTGTAAGTCTATGACCAATGTGTCAGCAACCTTGCTTCTTCAGAGGTCTCTCTCCTAGGCTTCCAGTTGTCCCCCTTCTTAGTGTGTCTCTCCTCTGCATGCAGAACACCTAGGGTTTCTCCTCTTTATGCACATTTCCTCTTTTTATAAAGACACTGGTCAGATTAGATGAGGACCCACCCTGGTGACCGCATTTTAATGTAATCACCTCTTTAAAGACCTTATCTCCAAATATAGTTACATTCTGAGGAATTCAGCAGAGGAATTGAGGGGGACACCATTCAGCCTGTCACCTGTTGTGCAGATTTTTTTAAAAAAAGTTAATGGACATTTTATTAGTTTATAACTTTTTAACAGTTAAACTAGGGGGACATTCACACTGGTTTTGATAAGAGGTGTGTTGGAAGGCAGAA